TCACTCACACACACACACACACACTCACTCGCTCACTCACTCACTCACTCACACACACACTCACTCGTTCACTCACACACACTCGCTCAAACACACTCACTCACTCACTCACTCGCTCACTCACTCACACACACACTCACTCACTCACTCACTCACTCACTCACTCGTTCACTCACACACACTCGCTCAAACACACTCACTCACTCACTCACTCGCTCACTCACTCACACACTCACTCACTCACTCGCTCACACACACTCACTCACTCACTCGCTCACACACACTCACTCACTCACTCACTCACTCACTCACTCACTCGCTCACACACACTCGCTCACTCACACTCACTCACTCACTCACTCGCTCACACACACTCACTCACTCACTCACTCACTCGCTCACACACACTCGCTCACACACACTCACTCACTCACTCACTCACTCACTCGCTCACACACACTCGCTCGCTCGCTCACTCATACACTCGCTCGCTCACACACACTCGCTCGCTCGCTCACTCACACACTCGCTCGCTCACTCACACGCTCGCTCGCTCACACACTCACTCACTCGCTCACTCGCTCACACACTCACTCACTCACTCGCTCACACACACACACACTCACTCACTCACTCGCTCACACACACACACACACTCACTCACACACACACTCACTCACACACACACACACTCACTCGCTCACTCACTCACTCACTCACACACACACTCACTCACTCGCTCGCTCGCTCGCTCGCTCACTCGCTCACACACTCGCTCACTCACTCGCTCACTCACTCACACACTCACTCACTCACTCACTCGCTCACACACACTCACTCACTTGCTCACACACACTCACTCACTCACTCACTCACTCACTCACTCACTCACACACACACTCGCTCACTCACACTCACTCACTCACTCAGTCACTCACTCACTCACTCACTCACTCACTCACTCACACACACACTCGCTCACTCACTCACTCACTCGCTCACACACACTCGCTCGCTCACTCACACGCTCGCTCGCTCACACACACACTCGCTCACTCGCTCACACACTCACTCACTCACTCGCTCACACACACACTCACTCACTCACTCACTCGCTCACACACACACACACTCACTCACTCACTCGCTCACACACACACACACACTCACTCACACACACTCACTCACTCGCTCACACACACACTCACTCGCTCACTCACTCACTCACTCACTCACTCACTCACACACACACTCACTCGCTCACACACTCACTCGCTCGCTCACACACACACTCACTCGCTCACTCACTCACACACACACTCACTCGCTCACACACTCACTCACTCACTCGCTCACACACACACACACACTCGCTCACTCACACACTCACTCACTCACTCGCTCACACACACACTCGCTCGCTCACCCACTCACTCAATCATATACTCACTCACACACTCATATTTTCACTCTCACATTATTACTGTTAATTATACCGATATAATTAATGCAAATTTAGCACTGTGCAAAGCAGTTCAATCTTTGTTTGTGATTTTCTGAGTCTAGTGTATTGTGCTCATATCGGCATTGCTTTATTTGTCTTTTTAGGCTAATCATAAAGTGTGGAGGAAGCTGCGTAACAGAGCAGAAAGACTAGTAAGAAATCTGTCTGCATATGATCTTTAATATACACATCACAGTTAATATTGCAGCATCTTCACAATCTCTTTGCGTCTCATTATTAACTTGTATTGATTACTTTCTCTTCTTGCAGGTGGAGATTCCCTCGTCCTCAACAGTGACTCCTCCTCTAATAGTGGAGGCCCCTCCCCCCATAGCGGAGGCCCCTCCCCTCACAGCAGAGGCTCCACCCCTCACAGCTGAGGCTCCTCCCCTCACAGCTAAGGCTCCGCCCCCTCCACAGTAATCCACACCTCCTCTCCCAGTGTTCAGTGTTTGTATAATGTTAAATAAATATGTCTTTAACATGTATAAAATACACCTTGTTCTTTGTGTTGCTGTTTGAGCATGATAAAGCTCCAGTTCTTCTCTATATTAGTGTCAGTGTTTCTGAACTCCTGAAACGCCTCCAATGTAGTCTTGAGTTTCTCCCGGGAACGAACACGTCACAATATTCCTCGTTATAATAATTAATGCGCAGAATAAAGGGGCGGGGCCTGGTTGAGTTAGTTAGTAGTGTGTTAAACTGGCGGTTATGGAAAGGGGCGGGGCATTTCCCAAACACACTCGAAGCGCTCGACCAATCACAACACACTGCTCCAGACGACCAATCAGAGCACAGTGTGCTTTTCAGAAGGAGGGGCTTCATAGAGACAGGAAGTGAACAGAGCGTTACTGACAGACTGGGAAGAGAGGAGCCGCAACAATGGAGAATATGAGGAGAATAATCAACATTCAAGCAGGAAAACCTGTTCTAGTAGAGCCTGAAACTACAGGGTATAATATGGGCTCTAACTAACAAGATGTTTTGGCCTAGAAGGCGTTTGCTGTACGTGTCGCATCACAAGATCTCATGCTGGAACATGGGTTTGCATAGCTAGAAGTTTTTGCGTTCATGTACTCGCATGGAATGAGTTTTTTGGCAATACGTTTAATCACATTTGCGCAACAGCTAGATCACGTTTATTCATCTCTGCATCTGCTGTGTGTGTGTGTGTGTGTGTGTGTGTAGTCAGCACTTTGTCAGGGCGAAGACAAAGGCAGTGTTGTAAAAGTGAGTGTGACTGTCAGGATTGTTGCAGCTGCTGCGTCTGTCGCATGCAGACAGGTGCTGTGTGTGTGTGTGTGTGTGTGTGTGTGTGTGTGTGTGTGTGTGTTTAAATGGCAGAGGAGCTGACTGGTAGTTTAATCCATCACAATTTAAGGCGAGACTCCACAGGCTAAACCAGTGTTTTCATGCACTGCTCTATTCTGCTTCTATAACACGTGACTAGTGGAAGAAAAACATCCAAAACACACGTTTAAGAGTTTATCTGATCTCAAAGCTCTTTACAGACGGAGAGTGTGAGTCAGAAATCTCCACTTCAGCAGCTTCACACACACTAAACTTCACAGATTTATTCATATCTATATTCTGAAGGGTTGGTCATATATCATTCACCTGTTTATACAACATTTAACTCTGAAAACATGGTGCAAATATAATTTTTTTTCTGTCTGTTGACAGTATTTTCTGATTTATTGTGTGACAAACTAAGTCATACTTATGAGATTAAAAGTGGAAATTATGACTTTCTGTGTATTGCCTTTTTTTAGTATGTCATAATTTTGACCTTTTTATTCATAATTTTGATTTTTTAAGTAATTTCTGGTTTATGGATTGATAAAGAGCTCAGGAAAAACCTTTAGGTCTAATATGTCAACAAAAGAATTATGAACATTTATCCAATGTTCAGATTTATGTGCAGGAAATGCATTCAATTTCGTGCTTATTTTAATTAGATAATGCCTCATAAGATCATGTTTTTTGTAACATTTAAAAAAAAAATGAAACCATCTCAAAGGGAAAATCTTTTCAGCTGTAAAGTTTGAACTGGTTTCAAGGCAAAACTGTGAGATCAGATGTTTAATGCATCGCTCTGTTGATTTGTGACGGAGGAAACATGATCCTCTACGACCCTGAGGTGACCAGCTGTTGTGTGTGTGTGTGTGTGTGACACACCCTGACCCCCCAATCCCCCCCCCCCCCCACACCCCCACCCTCTCAGACACACACACACACACACACATATACACGCACACACATACACGCACACACACATACACGCACACACACTCTCAGACACACTCACACACACACACACACACACTCACACACATATACATGCACTCACACACACACACATACACGCACACACACACATACACGCACACACACTCTCAGACACACTCACACACACACACATACACGCACACACACTCTCAGACACACACACACATATACATGCACTCACACACACACACACATACACGCACACACACTCTCAGACACACTCACACACACTTTCTCTCTCTTAGACACACACACACACACACACACTCTCTCTCTCTCTCTCTCTCTCTCTCTCTCTCTCTCTCTCTCTCTCTCTCTCTCTCTCTCTCTCTCTCTCTCTCTCTCTCTCACACGCACACACACACACAGATGGAGATGTCTGGATAGGTGCTGCTGTGCATTAAGCATGTGAAATCCAGACGTTACACTCGTCAGCTGTTCTTCCCAAAGCAAACACACACTGTTAGTCAAACAGCTTTATCACACAGGAGTGTGTGTTTGAGTGTTAATAGGAATGAACCAAAATAAACAATATTGCTCTGCTTATCATTTTTATATTGGCCCTGTGCATTATTCTTTCTTTATCTTTTTAATATTCATGATGAGCAGGATGTGTCCATCCATGCTGTGTGTGTGTGTGTGTGTGTTTCCATGACTGACTGGAGTAATTATCTCCTTTCATGTCTGATTTCAGTCGATCATTATCACTGATGTCAGTGAAGCTCCTTATAAACAGGCTTTTGATTGGAACAAATCTACCTTGAGGCTGTTCGCCAAACAGTAGACAAGTCTTTTATCCACCATCATTAACTTCACATTTACATGGTTCATTCAACCGGTTCTTCCTAGGCACATCAAATACAGTGTTCAGTCACAGTTCGGCTATACATGTTATTTTAAAGAAAAAAGTAGTAATGACAATGCTTCCGCCAATTAAAATAGTTCTTTAGCAGAACGGTCTGTTTATGGTTATTATGTACAAACGCATGTTTTTTGGTTTCGTATGGGGGAGAAATCAAGTCTACAGACTTTATAACACTTATTATTATTATAATAATAATCCCAATATCTGATCTTGTGTTGGCATGGTTAAATGGTAAAGAGTCTGTGTAATGTTAAATTAGTCTTGTTCCCGCCCTCTGCTCCACACACATACACACACACACACACACACACACACACAGAGAGAGAAAGAGAGAGACACACACACACACACACACACGCGTCCGGTCAGTGAGTGAGTTTGTTCATCAGCGCGCGCGCAGCGAATCAAACACAGTTTCGGAAACGCGCGCGACACACTGGATTTATAAGCGACTATTCCTGGATTCTTCCGTGAAGTTCATCGTGTGTGTGGATATAAAGTTCATCGTGTGTGTGGATAAAATGTTTGCGTCCGTGGCTTTGCTGATATTAATTCAGAGTAAGTGCTTTGTTCCATGTGATCTTCTTAAAGTCTCATGATCCCCTTTAGAGAATAAGATTAGACTGCGGTGTGTGTGTGTGGGAGTGAGTGAGTGTGTGTGTGTGTCACACGTCATAGGCAACTTTGTTAAATTAAATAGAGTGTATCATCTAAACACGTGTTGATTCCACCTGCAAAAGTTTTCCATTTACAAATTGTTGCACTAAAACAAAAGCATCAGCTCTGAATGTCATTCACCATTAGTCTGTATATCATAGTAACGTTACTTAAATATGGCATTCATTCAGTACCATTATTATATATATATATGTATATTATAGTAAATCTACACAGTAAACCAGTGATTTGTTGTAAGGGTGGGAGTAATAATCTTATGAAAGATAGTACATTAAAAATGAGTTTATATTTCAATTATGAATGGTATTAAGCTTAATGAATTGAAACATTATTGTTGTGATTCAGCAGCTGAGATTTTGATTGAATAATCATAATATCTCATAATCAAGGCCGTAACCAGGGTTTGAAAATTAGTGAGGTCCGGGGTGTTGTGTAAAGAATTTTGCTATAATAATGGTTTGGCCATTGGACCCACATTTCCCAATGGACATTAAGCTGTGACCCTTTTTTTTAATGGAATTTGGCATATATATATATATATATATATATATATATATATATATATATATATATATATATATATATATATACAGGGGTTAAATTTGGATTTAATTATGTGTGGGGTAGTCTCTCACTAGGGGGGTCCGAGGGTTTGCCCCCCCGGGATTTTTTTTGTGAAAAATAAACCAAAATGGCACTTTCTGGAGAGTTTTGTGCAAAGAAAAAGTAGGTCTAGCAAGTGCAACGCAATCTCACGACCAATTCGTCCGAATTTGACGAGTGATTAAAAGATGGCTAATTCGTACGAATTCGTACGACCTCATTCGTACGAATTTGTACGATTTGTCTAAACCCACGTGATGGGTAGGTTTAGGGGCGGGGTCAGGGTCATTCGTACGAATTCATACGAATTGGGCAACTCGTCAAATATGTACGTTTTAGCAAAAATCGTACTAATTCGTACGAGTGAGGTCGTACGAACTGTTACGAATTAGCCATCTTTTAATCACTCGTCAAATTCGGACGAAATTCACACAGATCAAACACAAATATGCTGACTGAATAGATTGCTAGTTGAGAAACACTGCTTTAATTAATGTTTTTATGATGGCTTTGTGAAAGGTTAACTAAACAGCATGAGCCGTCTTCCAGCTGGCCAGTAAGTTATTTGGCAAATTTCATTCTGTAGGCTAACATACAGATCTGTTTTATGCTATTGTTTTTGATAGTGTTATACATTTCTTACAGATAATCGATTGTCATTGCGTTTGTCTTACCGAATGTGGTAGCTTTATGCAATTACAGTTTGTCTATAAGCTTCTTTTTTTTTAAATGTATTAATGCCGACAGTTAAATGTTGCCAGATATTGCTACGAAAAACAAGCAAAACAAAATAATAATAATAATCCGAAATAAGTTCAAAGCTTGTGTTTTGGAAATAAGGTTAATATATCACTAAACCTTTCCACATTAATAACTTCCTAAAGTGTCACATTAAATCAGAAAAACAGGTGACTACTGCCACCTTTCTATTAGGTGGATCTGGCAACACGGAGGCTGCACCCGCGTTCACAACGCGCTCTCAAGCCCCGTTCAGTTCACTGCGCCAGCTTCTCGCAGCAACATGAATTGCAAACACTCATATGAGGTGGTTTAAACACTGCTAATTAATCATTCAGAGAGCTTGACATTTTATTTTTGAATGTAAAAAAAATGACCGAGGTCCGGACCTCGGTGACCTCATAGCTGGCTACGGCCATGCTCATAATGTGAAGTAAATAGAAGATGATGAGCTGATTATCCTGCAACCATTACTAGTGACATGATTCAATATTTCTAGCTGGAGGAATTTGTTTATTACTGAGTTCCAGTATTTGTGAGTGTTCTCCTGTTTTTGAGATATCATGATGTTTTATTTGATGTTCCAAAAGTCACTGAGTGTGTTTGTGTGAGTGTGTCTGTGTGAGTGTGTTTGTGTGAGTGTGTCTGTGTGAGTGTGTCTGTGTGAGTGTGTTTGTGTGAGTGTGAGTGTGTTTGTGTGAGTGTGTCTGTGTGAGTGTGTCTGTGTGAGTGTGTTTGTGTGAGTGTGTCTGTGTGAGTGTGTCTGTGTGAGTGTGTCTGTGTGAGTGTGTTTGTGTGAGTGTGAGTGTGTTTGTGTGAGTGTGTCTGTGTGAGTGTGTCTGTGTGAGTGTGTTTGTGTGAGTGTGTTTGTGTGAGTGTGTTTGTGTGAGTGTGTCTGTGATGCTGTGTGTGTTTGTGTGAGTGTGTTTGTGATGCTGAGTGTGTTTGTGATGCTGTGTGTGTTTGTGTGAGTGTGGCTGTGACGCTGAGTGTGTTTGTAATGCTGAGTGTGTTTGTATGGGTGTGTTTGTGATGGTGAGTGTGTTTGTGAGTGTGAGTGTGTTTGTATGGGTGTGTTTGTGATGGTGAGTTTGTGATTGTTTGTGATGGTGAGTGTGTTTGTGATGCTGAGTGTGTTTGTGATGGTGTGTGTGTTTGTGATGCTGAGTGTGTTTGTGTTTGTATGGGTGTGTTTGTGATGCTGAGTGTGTTTGTGTTTGTATGGGTGTGTTTGTGATGCTGAGTGTGTTTGTGATGCTGAGTGTGTTTGTGATGCTGAGTGTGTTTGTGATGCTGAGTGTGTTTGTGTGTTTGTTATGCTGAGTGTGTTTGTGATGGTGAGTGTGTTTGTGATGGTGTGTGTGTTTGTGATGCTGAGTGTGTTTGTGTGGGTGTGTTTGTGATGCTGGGTGTGTTTGTGTGAGTGTATTTGTATGGGTGTGTTTGTGACGGTGTGTTTGTGATGCTGAGTGTGTTTGTGTGAGTGTGTTTATGATGGTGTGTGTGTTTGTGATGGCGAGTGTGTTTGTGATGGTGAGTGTGTTTGTGATGGTGTGTGTGTTTGTGATGCTGGGTGTGTTTGTTATGCTGAGTGTGTTTGTGATGGTGAGTGTGTTTGTGATGCTGAGTGTGTGGGTGTGTTTGTGATGCTGGGTGTGTTTGTGTGAGTGTGTTTGTGTGAGTGTGTTTGTGTGAGTGTGTTTGTGTGAGTGTGTCTGTGTGAGTGTGTTTGTGTGAGTGTGTTTGTGTGAGTGTGTTTGTGTGAGTGTGTCTGTGATGCTGTGTGTGTTTGTGTGAGTGTGTTTGTGATGCTGAGTGTGTTTGTGATGCTGTGTGTGTTTGTGTGAGTGTGGCTGTGACGCTGAGTGTGTTTGTAATGCTGAGTGTGTTTGTATGGGTGTGTTTGTGATGGTGAGTGTGTTTGTGAGTGTGAGTGTGTTTGTATGGGTGTGTTTGTGATGGTGAGTTTGTGATTGTTTGTGATGCTGAGTGTGTTTGTGTGTTTGTGATGCTGAGTGTGTTTGTGATGGTGTGTGTGTTTGTGATGCTGAGTGTGTTTGTGTTTGTATGGGTGTGTTTGTGATGCTGAGTGTGTTTGTGTTTGTATGGGTGTGTTTGTGATGCTGAGTGTGTTTGTGATGCTGAGTGTGTTTGTGATGCTGAGTGTGTTTGTGATGCTGAGTGTGTTTGTGTGTTTGTTATGCTGAGTGTGTTTGTGATGGTGAGTGTGTTTGTGATGGTGTGTGTGTTTGTGATGCTGAGTGTGTTTGTGTGGGTGTGTTTGTGATGCTGGGTGTGTTTGTGTGAGTGTATTTGTATGGGTGTGTTTGTGACGGTGTGTTTGTGATGCTGAGTGTGTTTGTGTGAGTGTGTTTATGATGGTGTGTGTGTTTGTGATGGCGAGTGTGTTTGTGATGGTGAGTGTGTTTGTGATGGTGTGTGTGTTTGTGATGCTGGGTGTGTTTGTTATGCTGAGTGTGTTTGTGATGGTGAGTGTGTTTGTGATGCTGAGTGTGTGGGTGTGTTTGTGATGCTGGGTGTGTTTGTGTGTTTGTGTGAGTGTGTTTGTATGGGTGTGTTTGTGATGCTGAGTGTGTTTGTGATTGTGAGTGTGTTTGTATGGGTGTGTTTGTGATGGTGAGTGTGTTTGTGTGAGTGTGTTTGTGTGAGTGTGTTTGTGTGAGTGTGTTTGTATGGGTGTGTTTGTGATGGTGAGTGTGTTTGTGATTGTGAGTGTGTTTGTGTGAGTGTGTTTGTGTTTGTGATTGTTTGTGATGCTGAGTGTGTTTGTTATGCTGAGTGTGTTTGTGATGGTGAGTGTGTTTGTGATGCTGAGTGTGTTTGTGATGCTGAGTGTGTTTGTGATGCTGAGTGTGTTTGTGATGGTGTGTGTGGGTGTGTTTGTGATGCTGGGTGTGTTTGTGTGAGTGTGTTTGTGATGCTGAGTGTGTTTGTGACGGTGTGTTTGTGATGCTGAGTGTGTTTGTGATTGTGAGTGTGTTTGTGTGAGTGTGTTTGTATGGGTGTGTTTGTGATGCTGTGTGTGTGAGTGTGTTTGTGATTGTTTGTGATGCTGAGTGTGTTTGTGTGAGTGTGTTTGTATGGGTGTGTTTGTGATGCTGTGTGTGTGAGTGTGTTTGTGATTGTTTGTGATGCTGAGTGTGTTTGTGTGTTTGTGATGCTGAGTGTGTTTGTGTGTTTGTGATGGTGAGTGTGTTTGTGATGGTGAGTGTGTTTGTGATGGTGTTTGTGATGCTGAGTGTGTTTGTGATGCTGGGTGTGTTTGTGTGAGTGTGTTTGTATGGGTGTGTTTGTGATGCTGAGTGTGTTTGTGTGAGTGTGTTTGTGTGAGTGTGTTTGTATGGGTGTGTTTGTGATGGTGAGTGTGTTTGTGATGGTGTGTGTGTTTGTGATGGTGTGTGTGTTTGTGATGCTGAGTGTGTTTGTGATGCTGGGTGTGTTTGTGTGAGTGTGTTTGTATGGGTGTGTTTGTGATGCTGAGTGTGTTTGTGTGAGTGTGTTTGTATGGGTGTGTTTGT